ACATAAATTAACGATAACCCAGAAGTCCAACTTCAGTTTCACGTATGCTGACAAATAAAAAAAAAGAAGAAGAAAAGAAAGAAAATGGTTGAAAAACATTAGTCTTGAGCAATGCTTCCTAATTTTTTTTTTCTCTGGGCAGCATTTTCGGAATTAAAATTTGCTCGCACTTCACCAAATATGTGATCAAAAGTAAATATAAAATGAACAATGATTAATATTTCGACTGCTTACCATCTAGCCTTCTTCAGATGTCTTTTGCACTCAGTAAACTTTACGAACATTTGAACTTAACACTTTATTCAATCAAAAGAATAGATTGTACTCACTTTTCTCTCCATACCTCATCTTGCATAAGTTATTTATTCAGTATCATTTCGACACAAAAATATGCGTTCTTGTATGAAATAGTAGTCTAATGCAGTGGTTCCAAAACATTTTTTTTCTCTGGAACGCATTTTCTCGCATATCACCAAATTATATGGGGTAAAAGTGAATATAAAATAAACAATGATTAACAATACGTTAAATATAATATATAACACAAATAACATATAAGATGATTAAAGAAGACGAATAAAAAGTAAGATGTTGTTTTTTAACCTCCTTCATATTAGGCCTAATTTGAGATAAACTCTCATCTCCTCATCAGCAAAAAGAAGCTTTTCTCGTCTTAATTTTTGTTATTTGCCAGCACTGAGAATCCTTGCAAAAGTGACTGGGAAAAGGTGCAAGCAGGTTTACGACAGAGAGATGATTATAGGGAGATAACCGTGGATTCGATATCAGAATATTATCATTGATAACTCTCTCCATCAATTTGCGGACCCTACTTACAATATCCTTGATATAATGCAAAAATATCACAACGATAAAATCAGTCGATAATTATTTATAACTATTTATACTGTGACTCATGAATAAAATTACATGCATCCCATAATAATATTTTACATTTTGAAATCATATTGATTTTTGACATATGATTTTTTAAAACGGTTTCTAAGTTTTGATTATCTCTCAATCATTCCACCTCAACTGCTATACTCTTCCGCCTCACCTGCTATCCTCTTCCGCCTCACCTGCTATCCTCTTTCGCCATACCTAAGCGCCGTTTGATTGGTTTTTTTTTTTTTGGTAAGCCGCCTGTATATTTCAATGTGTTATTTAATACCTCAATTTAAATATTTTATAGGGAATTTAATTTTTTTTGAGATAATAATGGTTTAAGAAATACAAATTTTACTAATTAACCCATAGATGGGGAAAAGAGATAGATTCATACTTTTCCCAAGGGTATGTACGAACATGACTATAACGAACCCATCTCGGAACTCGGGTCTCCGAATAAACAATTCCGAGTCATTATCCATTACACCACTCACACATCCAAACATGCAGCAGATGGCATTTTTAAGTGGTCACCCATCTGACCAGGTTTGACGTTGCTTAACTTCAGTGATCGATCGGGAACTCGGGTCTCCGAATAAACAATTCCGAGTCATTATCCATTACACCACTCACACATCTAAACATGCAGCAGATGACATTCTTAAGTGGTCACCCATCTGACCAGGTTCGACGTTGCTTAACTTCAGTGATCGATCGGGAACTCGGGTCTCCGAATAAACAATTCCGAGTCATTATCTATTACACCACTCACACATCTAAACATGCAGCAGATGGCATTTTTAAGTGGTCACCCATCTGACCAGGTTCGACGTTACTTAACTTCAGTGATCGATCGGGAACTCGGGTCTCCGAATAAACAATTCCGAGTCATTATCCGTTACACCACTCACACATCTAAACATGCAGCAGATGGCATTCTTAAGTGGTCACCCATCTGACCAGGTTCCACGTTGCTTAACTTCAGCGATCGTAAGGGAACTTGGCTCTCCTATTAACAATTCTGAGTCATTATTACACAACTCGCACATCTAAACTTACAGCATTTGGCATTCCCGAGCGGTCACCCATCTGACCTGGTTCGATGTTGCTTAACTTCAGTGTTGGTACGGAAACAGGCGTTTGAACATGATGTGGCCTTAAGCCGCACACCGTTTGTGAACCACTGCATTAGAGAGTCGGAAATTCCACTAATTTTCAATGGAGACGGATCTAGCTCTATCTTCAAACAGTAAAAAAACACGCGTAAGATACCCAGGTAACAATTGGTAGAGTTTCGAAAAAGAGGCTCTTCGCGACGAAGCAGAACAGATGAGTGGTCAACAATAGTGGGCCGCTTCGTCTAGTAAGAGGGTCCCTTTTTAAGCGCAAAGCTAAATTACATTTTCACCAGGTGGGCGAAAAAATCAGGCTGTTAATACGTTCAATCGTTTGTTTTTGTTACCTTTCAACAATTTTAGAAGCAGAATTTAATTATGTTGATTATAATCTGCCACACCAAAACAAAGATGTCTTGCCAAAATAGTTTGCTCTTTTTACTTCAAATTGCTGAGAGGCTAAAAACAATGACAGATTCTTTATTTCTATTACA